TTTATTAATTTATGAGTTACACTGATTTAAGTATTTTAAATAAGTTTGCATCAAATAAGCTGACAACCACTGTACATATGTTTAAGGTTTTTTCTGTGGGATGCTAACTATTCGGAAAGTACGGTTATATTAGGGCTAGGGAATAATGGGCCGATTTAATCCATTTTCAAACAACTTCGTCCTTGGGTAAAATGAAACATATGAGTCATTTGCATCGTATTATCTGGAAAATTTCGACTTGTAGTTTGATTATAAGCCGGATGGACATAGCTAAACCACTATAGTGCTGTAGGATATAATAACCTTTCCTCTTTTTTGATAGGAAGTAGAATCTGAAAGGGTTTGTAACTGAAAAAATAACTGTTTTATAATTCATTTTCAAAAAAAATGTTTGTTGTGAAAACGGTTGATAATGAATATTTGAACATTTTCATATAATTAAATGCTCTTTATTCTTATATCGACACAATTTTAGATTTTGGGGAAGGATCAGAGATATCAGAAGTCGGACACAAAAAGGATTTCATACTCAATATGAATTGGTCAAAACTTAAGCAACTTCTTATAAATACTTTTAAAATTAATTTTTAGTATAAAAAATGCATAGCATATCCGTAATTTTTTATGAAAAGAGCACTTTTAGGAGTCATTGCAGGCATTGTGCACTTTATTTTATAATTTGAGATGCTGTTCCTTTCGTCCCTTATCCTGTCAAGGATATTGTGCCTATTAGTTTATCTGTATCCTTCAGTAAATTAATCTACAATCACGATCGGCAACTCCTATACACTGTGTATTTTGGTCGTTACTAAATTTACACAGACTACTCACGCGCATAGAAAACACAATTTAGTGACTATGTGACAGCTCATATGAGACTAAATTTAATGGCCGTTATAAAACATTTTAGTATTTAAATAATTTATATACGTTTATCTTTTTATTGTATTGGTTTTTATGACTTTTGTATTTTTTCTCTTTTAAACAGTTAATAATTGTAAAATATATTATTGTTTGAGGTACCTTATGAGACTCTTAGTCTTACTTGTACTAAATGAAATAAATTAATAAATAAATAAATAAAAATAAATAAATAAATATAATTAAAAATCTCATATTTCTATATCAATATTTAAAATTAATATAAAGACAACAAAATATTGGCTACTATAAAACTAAAAAATATTAGTTCTGTTTTAGATTAATATTATTTCTAAATTTCAGTTTTCCACGCATGCCTTGTTGTGAAGATGAGATTACAACTATTTCTCATTTCTTATTTTTTCGCTCTTACACTTATACAAGTGCAAAATGTGGTATTATATGTCTGTCGATCGCGGATCTACAATGATCCAATGGTACTCAAATGTTGTTCAGGTCAGGAGATTGTGCCACCCATTGAAGAATGCAAGAATTTGATACATTCAACCAATTATCTGGCTTCATCTCATTCATCATTCATGGTAGGAAATGACTTTTCCTGTTCTGGTATTGAACCTATTTACTGAATGCTAGTAAACTTTTACCGATATTTAAAAAAATGTCTGATTAATAACTTAATTTCGATAAGAATATAAAACTCCACCCCAAATGAAGCCATGTAATTGGTTAAAAGCATCAAATATTTGTATTCTTCAATGGACAGCACAATCCCTGACCTAAACACCATTTGGATAGGATGAGCGACGCAAGGAACAGCATCTCAAATTATAAAATAAAGCGCATAATGCCTGCAATGACTCCTACATGTGCTCCTCTTATAAAAATTTCGGATATGCTATGTATGCATTTTTTTACTAAAAATTAATTTTAAAAGTATGTATTAAGAAGTTGCTTTAGTTTTGACCAATTCATATTGAATATCTCCTTAAATCATATGTGTGCATTAAATTTTGGATTATTTTTGTACTTTTTTATAGTTAACAAATTATATTACTTAAAACAAAAAGCAATTATAAAATTTCTTCAGAGTCAAAAATGTTATGCACCATTCTACATAAATATAATATTGGTTACTTTATTTTTGGCCACCACTATATATGTACGGCTATTCATTCACCAATCCGTCCGTCCATCCAACCAGCCAACTACAAAGGAATCATTTTGTTTCTTTGATGTTCTTTGAAGTAATTTGTTTCTCAATGTTGTACTTTTTTGTGTGTTGCCTGCCATTGTTATTGTTGGGTTAAGAAGAGGTCTTAAACATACAACCTTCTGTTACTGCCGCCGTGCTTGTTGTTTGGAGCATTTGACGATCAGCATTTGTAAATTTCTATCGTTGCGTTCATTCTGCTCAACACACGGTGGGTGGCACGTGTCGACGAGTGTTGTACATTGTGTTATTAATGCATAAAAGTGACAATTTATATGTAAATGATTAATGATTATTAAACGCATGTACTCTTCGATACCACCCACTCATCACTTATGTGGCCAAATGAATTACTTGAGTTTCTCCTTTATTCGTTTCGTTTGATTTGATGACGAAAACACTTTACGAAACAGTCCTTAAAAACACCGCTCGCTCTGATATTTGTGATGAAAGACGTGCGTTTGACTGTTGCTTGGCTTATTTATTATTTTTCCTGTTGAGAATTTTATGCCATTGACATTTGAATTGCATCAAAACACTTTGAATTAAACCAGTTTTACCAGATCTTGGATCACTTCATTTTATATTTTACTGATGTTTTTAATATACAAAAAATATTGGTCCCATTTATATACAATTGGAAAGATAGCAAACAAGGACCCATTCCAAAACAGTTAACTCATAAATAAGGTCACTTTCCGAACCGACTAAATTTTTAAAAATCTTTTAGAAAAGTTGATATACATACAAACATACATATGTATATTTTATAAATTAGCTAGAAGTTAGTTTGCAACACTTTAATAACACGGGCCAACTCAACTTTAAAAAAGGCGAAACCCGGAGATCAAAGTATAATTTTTTTTTTCAGGTGCGCTGAATTGGACTTTACAATTGTTTTAAATTTCATGTTACGATATCTTGAAAAAGGATGATGATATACAGTGCACTCGCGGTAACGTGAACACCGTCTAACGTGAACACCGTCTAACGTGAACACCGCCTAACGTGAACAAGATGTTTTTTACATTGACTACTCTGTAACGTGAACAAACACAAAAAGCTCTATAACGTGAACAATTTTTTTTTCACAATATATGTTTTCTAAGCATGTAGACAACATTGAAATACATTCATTAAATTCGGGAATTAAATTTTGGGAATCTCCTTATATAAATGAATGTATATTCCCTAAATTATTTTGTTTATATGGCAAAGAAATTTGAAGTTATGAGTGTAAAAAAATCTAAATGTTTGCAGTTAAAAGAAAAGGCAGACATTTTAGATAGTTTGCAAAGAGGAACAAGTGTGACTAGTTTATCAAAAAAGTATAATGTTGCTAAGTCAACAATATGCAGTATTAAAAAGAAACAAGTAAGAAGTTATAGTCGGGCGACGCCGACCATATATTACCCTACACCTGTATACGAATAAAATGTGATGTGGTTTTCATAATAAAGCATTTAAGTTGAATTGTACCTTGCCTCAGATATACTAAAGCCATTTACAGTTTAATAAAACTGTGGATATTTAAGTAAAATTTTGATGGGGCTTTTTAGAGGGGCTAAGGGTCAAATGAGGCCCTATAATTAAAAATTTTATCAGGGTCATCAAGACTAGTATAGAACTTGGTTTTGCAGCTTTTTGTCGAGATACGAGTATATTAAGCATAATTATGAACTTAAAAGCCCTATTTGGCGGGTTCAATTCTATGGGGCCTAGGTGAAATAATGGACCGATGTTAACCATTTTCAATAGGCTTTGTCTACAGTACCATAAAAGATCATGTGCCAAATTTCATTGAATCATCTCCAAAATTTCGACCTGTAGTTTGATTACAATGTTTACAACCTTTTTTGGGGGGTACAGTTGTATGGGGGCTAGGTGAAATAATGGACCGATCTTAACCATTTTCAATAGGGTTTGTCCCTGGGACAATAGAAGATCATGTACCAAATTTCATTCAATTATCTTCAAAATTGCGGCCTGTAGTTTGATTACAAGGTTTACATGGACGGACGGACATAGCTAAACCGACTCAGAAAATGATTCTAAGCCGATTAGTATACTTTAAGGTGGGTATAGGACCAATAGCACAAACACAATATACCCTCCCCACTAAAGTGGTGTAGGGTATAAAAAGAAGCAATTTTGAGTTGTGCAAACAACACATACCAAGGACCGGGAAAAAGACAAACTTTAAAATCATCAGAACTTCCAGTTAATGAAAAAACTCTTTACCGTTGGTTCCTCCGAATGCGTGATAGGAATTGGCCTGTAAGTGGTCTAATGTTAAAAGAAAATGGATTTTAATAAAATTTTAGTTTTATATTATAATAATATAAATAATAATAAAAGAATATCACGCTCAAGTGTGTAAAATACAGATTTATAAATTAAAATTTCATATTTTTTTCTTGAAATTTGACAATCGCTAACGTGAACAATTTCGCTAACATAAACTCCCTTGGTTTTAATTAGTTCACGTTACCGCGAGTGCACTGTACTTCTGTAATAAATAAATAAAATCTATTATATTACAGATAATACAGAAGTAATCTTTTAAAGTCAACATATTGTATTTTAGTCGTCATAAAATATTTTTAAAATAAAGATGTCTTCGTGTCAAGAGCATATTTTTCAATCTGTAAGACAAGATATCTCGAAAACCTGATGTGAAGTGACCTGTGTAATATTAATTGTAGTTTTAAAACTATTCATATTATTTTACTATATAACATTCATTACAATTTAAATAAAATTATGTAATTAAATTTAAATCCTAATTATATTTTTTCTATCTATATCAACACTAACATTTTATAGAACTATGTATATATGAACATTTGTAGTATATTAATACTTTTGTTATTACAATATACATATGTATTTATGTATTATATTGCAGGTGTCATCTATCAACCGCGTTTTAAGAAATTTGGCATCACAAAAAGAACAACAAGCTCAACAGCAAAGTGAATCAGTATATGAAAAGCTACGAATGTTCAATGGACAATCTGGTGGTTGGGCGTGGTATCCAGGTAACACGACAACTGCTCATTTAGCCCTACCTCCAACACCTGCCGGCGCAACCTTAACAAGTCAAATAACGCGCGAAGAACTACTTAAGCGAGGTAAATATTATGAATTATTACCATGCCAACATTATAATAAATCCCATAAAATATATTTCAAAATACAGACTTATACACACTTCTCATGAATATATGTAGTTGTCATGTTAACAAATAACTCCCATCCATCCATCTATCTATCCACCCATCTACATTCAATCATTCATTCATAAAGATTTTTTATAATTGTGTATTAAATACAAAAGTGTAACAAATGGCTAATAAAATTATTTGATATTTTTAAGAGAGTGACAAGTGTTTAAATAAATATCATTATAGTTATTAAATAATACAAATTAGATATTTGTTGGATTTTAATTACAATTTATACTTTTTTGCGCAGTTGGATTCTTAATGAAGCCACATCGAACAGTGCTTTGTCCCATAGGCAAAATTCATTTTTGTTTTTGTATCTAGGATATTGATGAATGTTATATTTTTGGAAAGCTTATAAAATGTCCTAACTAAATATGTAAAATATAATTTATATTTGCTCTTTTTGATGACTCTAGAGGGCGCTAAAGTGAATGAAATTTTAGCCAAATATCTTTGACAGAATAATACATTTCAAAGCTTGTATGAAACAAATTTTTCAAAAATTAATTTTTTAAGGAATTATTCCAAAGTAAATTTTTTCTGTACAATGGAATATTTTTTACAAATAAGGATGGTTTTCGACTAAAAAATAATTACATATTGTTACTTTTTGTTGTATTGGAAATTATACAATTTTTTTAATATAAATATGAAATTTTCCAAAGTTTGATGAAGTAGCAAACATTTGTTTTAAAAGATGCGTTAATTTTAATTTTTGTTTTCAATATATTATTATGTCTTTTAGCATACAAAATAAAAAATGTTAAATTTCGAACCACAACTTAGAAAATTTTGCATTTTTGTTAATGCCTTAATCCGCAAATTTCAAAAAAGGCATTGTAATTTTTTGGGCATTTGGATGATTATATTTTAAAAGGATATTTTTTAACTTTATATTTAAGACATATTTCAATAAAAATAATTGAGAAAACTAATACTTACAGTTATGTAAATAACAATCTGTCAGTATTTAAACTTTCTAAAACGATTTTTAATAAAAGGAAATATGGGAGCATAACAAAACCTTGGAGCGATTGAAACAAAATTTGGCATAAAGTTTTCAAAAACAATTATTATAACATATGTCAATTTTGAATTCATCCTGATCACAAATGTAGTTATAACGTTTTTACGCTTAAGGTTATATGGGAGGTGGGTGTGTCCTTGAACCGGTTTTTTGATATGCAACATTTTTGACAATTATCTTATCAAACACTTATAATCTAATTATACAATATAGTTAAAATATCGTTTTTACGTTTTAGGTTATATGGGAGGTGGGTTTGTCCTGGCACCGATTTGTTTAAACTTAAAATTTTTCTTATTTGGACTATCAGACACCTATATACCGAATTTCATAATCCTACGATCAATTTTCAAAAATTTATGCACAATGACGTTGTTACGCTTTATATTATATGGGAGGTGGGCGTGTCCTTGTACCGATTTTTTTTTGATGCTGGAGTTTTGTTTACTATATTATCAAATACTTATAGTCTAATTTTGAATACATTTTGAAGAAAAACGTAGTTTTAAGGTTAAGCTTTAGGGTTTATGGGAGGTGGACGTGTCCTTGGACCGATTTTTTAGAAATTCAGGATTTTGATTAAATATACTAGCAAACACACACACTCCATTCTGATGAAAAATGTAGATGCAAAGGCGTTTTCATCTTTTAAGCTATATGGGAGGTGGGCGTGTCCTTGCACCGATTTTTTGGAAAATTAAAATTTTTCTTAATTTTGATAGTGTATATCAGACACTAACATACCAAATTTCATAATACTAGCCGATTCGCTATATGGGAACAAAGCATTGTGCATCGGCTCAAACTTTTGGAAATATGTACCAATTTTAATATACTTAATTAGTAAAAAATAAGTCTGGACTGATTTTCTTGAAATTTTAAAGATTTCACTTGCAGACGTTAAAAGTTTATATATTTTTTTATGCTACGACTAGAAAGCATTTTTAAGCAATTATCATTGTGTTAAATTAATGTTCTAAAGCACCAAAATTTTATGCTTTAATAATTATTTTATATCAAATAATAATTATTATAACTTTTCAGTATCTTCAAAAATCACTTAAAACCCCACGTTGTTGTGTCACTTTTGTACTGGATCTGAGATACATAGTAAAATTGATGGGTTAGTTCAAAAACATACAAAACAGGACAAAGCTTATTGAAGAAGTTTTTTTATTATGTATGTGAATTATGGACGTTCAACATAAATATGTTCTTTAAAATTCCGTTTACTTGGGACTATATGAAGATTCATCAAGTTATTTCGAAAATTCCCCCTGTACATTGCGCACAAGGATTACATGAACAGCCAAACGGACATACAAAAAGTGCACAGTGTGTTCGATGGCACTTAAAGTGGTTTAATTCAGGGGGCCGTAATTTTAATATATTTTAATCTTTTTTTTAACAAATCAGTAAAAATACATTAAAAAGCATCCTTTTTCAAAAATTGTTTAGTAAAATATTTTTCCTTTTTTTTTTTTTTTGATTTTATGTACATATGTATAGGCGTTTTTATTTTTCGGGAATTGTGATTTTATTCCGAAATTTCTTTGTAACTCTAAAACAGAAAGCGATATTTTCATAAAATAAAATGCATTTAAAAGCTGGATTTTGAAGAAAATATTTTGAAAAAGCTGGATTTTTAAAATTGTTATTCATTGTATTCGACTACGACGAATCTTATATACTAGGGTTGTTAATTATTCGTGTTTAAATCATTATATTAAAATGTTTGCAACTGGCCTATTAATATAACATTTTATGAACCTAATCAAAATTAGTTCCACGTATGCATAAATGTTAGTGCCCTCACTACGGAAACAAACATTTTGTCAAGTTATTTTAAAATTAGATAGTTAAATGGGTTTTAATAAAAAGTAGCTTGCAGGTGGAGGGTATTGAAGATTCGGCATAGCCGAATATAGCACTCTCACTTGTTTTCATTTCTATTTGAATTTTTCAAACACTTAAACTGGATTCGAACCAACTGTAATAAAACTTAATAATTGAGTAATTTGCAAATGTTGGAAATTTCTAATTCGGGCTATGTGTATCCTAAAATAAAAAGATTTCTGTATGTACAATACTAATAAACATCTGACATTTGATTTCAATCAAAGTTACAATTGAATTTCGAAGATATTTCTTTCACTTTCAGCCCTTGGAAGTTGATTTCTTTACGTTAAAGTTGTAACAAATAAAATAACAACTTTATTTAAAGACAGACAATAAATAACAAATGAAAGACTTGCATTGAACTATGACCCCAAAATTATTTTGTGTTTTGTTTTTATTTGTTTAACATTGTTTCGGTTGTATTTAATGAATGAATGGTCAAATTTTCTCCTTAATGACACTGCCAGTAGCCAATTATTACGAGTAGAGTATCATAACACACGCACAAATTCAAAAACACATTATTTTCACAGATGTTGCAAATATTCTACATTAGGGTGGATTTCGTTTATACGTTTATTATTTAATTTTCTCAAATTGTATAACATTTGTATCTATTGTCACAAAATAATATTGTATATACATATATGTATATGAAAAAAAATAAAAATGATAAATATATATATTCTTCATTTGTGCAAAATCGAGTGAGAATTTTTAATAAAAATTCAAAGAATTTTAATGTGTACTTGATCTTGTTGACAGACCTTTTTCTGGTATCCAGTTTGTTATTGGTAAACCTTTGAAACTAGCAAGTTGTTAAAAAATTTTAGTTATTTTATCAAGACCCCACATAAAAATCCTCCTAATATTATGTTGGTATCGGGATACGATTTACAATTTCACATGTGCAGAAATCCAGTTAGTTATAACATAACCCCCTAATGTTATGGTAGTAGTCGTTTTGCTGCGACACACACACTACATAATATGTATCAGTAATATATGGGAAGTTAATTTGATGACTTCGATTTACATCGTTATTATTAAAGGCCATCCATTTCATTCACTTATTTAGATACTTAATTACTATAAATGACAAGAACAAAAATGTCGTAAACAAAACAATAACAGTAACAACAACAGCAGCAGTAGAAAATGAAACGAAATGAAAATAAACAGAACGAACAAAACTGAACTAAATTGAATTGAACAGAAGAGAGGAGAACATAGAAAAACATATCATAACTGTCATCAAATGTTTGGCCAACAAAGTGTATAGATTTGTTAGTATGTCATTGATAAATTGTCCATGAAATTCATCCAACCATTCACACAATCATCAAAAAAATAAAGAAAGAAAAATACATAAACAAAATCAACAACAAAACAAAAATAAGGGTAATTTTATAATGATATACAGACTTATAGAAATTAAATACATACAGTATAAACTAGGGTTGTCAATTATTCGTGTTTTAAATTATTCTAATAAAAATGTACTATATTTTTTCATTCGAGTAGTCGATTAAATTTTAAAAATTATTCGATTATACGACGAATAAACGGATTTAAAAGTGGAAGCTGAGGCCTTTATAATTATAAATATATACGATGTTTAACTAAAGGTGAAAGTACACAACACGCGTCAAAAAAAGTTGAAATAGTATATTTTCATTTAACAAGTTACACACTGTAGTTTGTAACGTCAAAAGTTCAACTTTTGACGCGTCGGCAGCTGATCAGGGTTGTATTTTGTTTTGTGTAGAATAAGAATAAACTGAAATGAAATAAATTTCACCAACAATGAAAAAAAAATATTAAAAAATAAACAAAATCTTAAAATTTTGATTTTTAAAAACAGTAAAAGTCTTAAAAAACTTTAAAATAAAGATCAAAATGATGCGTGGTGTGTAACTTGCAGCTTGTAAAGCGCGAAAAGTTTGAAAAGCGTAAAACGCGTTGCCGCCTCAACGCG